TAAAGATGATTTTCGATTCCATTTTATCAATTGAAATATTTTTTGTTACATTATCCTCAATTAGTGTTCTCGAGAGTTGGTGATTTATCACCTTCAGAAGCGCTGACAATAAATACAAATGCATGATTAAATGTAATATTGATAGGAACGTTGGTACTCTTATCAGAAGAATAAATGGAGGAAAGTCGTTTAGTATTTCTAAGACAATTAAAATTATAAACATGATCATTGCTGTGAAATACCACAAGTACATTTTGTAAGCGAACAATTTAAGGACGTAGCTAGTGATGTTTAACCGTATGAAAATATCATCAAATATTTCTTGAATGTTAATAGAAATGGTTTCACAGTTAAAGAGATTAATGATTATGATAATAACATTCACAAATAAATCAGTGATATCAGGGATAATTCCTAGATCCTGTTTGACATCAAATCTGAGAAGTCTATCGCGTAAGAATGCGTAGCTACTGATTAAGCTTGCTGCAAATAACAAAGACCAAATCTTAAGCCACGGGTTGATCTTAATTGAATTTCCTTTGGTAGTAACAATGGGTTTCGGTAAACCAAAAATATTGCAGATGATGGTAAACGGGCGAAAGTAACGGTAGAACATGTTTCCACACCAAATACAATAATTCAAATGAACATAGCAACTGTGGACTAGTTGATATTTTCAATAAAAATCATTACTATTGTTTTTTTAAAGTGTAATTATAAAAAAAGGTGACATGTATTATTGAAATGGAAATGAACGTAACATTGTTTTCAACTCAATTAATTTTAGATTTGGGTAAATTACATTTATTATAAAAGCAAAATTGAATAATCATTAGCTTTAGATTATTTTACTTTTTTGATTAAAATAATTGTGCGTCGTGTTTTAACGGACTTCAAAAAAGAAGGAGGTTCTCAATTCGTTGGGATCATTTTTTTAATTTTTTTTATGTATGTTCACCGATTACTCGAGGACCCCTGAATTTATTTGGATTTTTTTTTCAGTAGTGTATGATTTTCAGGTGGTCCCATATTCACCAGGTCAGGATCTGATGATGGAAACCCAGGAAAATCGAGGGGAACTTTCAAATTTTATAGGGACAGATGGCATGATTCATATATTTTCTGAAGCTATTCAGGTATTTACGTCAGGTAGGCATCATCATCATCTCACTTTTTACAACACTGCAACTTGCCGATGGTTGAACTCGACCTGATGATGAAGCCGGAAGGCAGTCGAGGGATCTCCTTGACTATTTGGAGTAAATGCTTTGTATTTCGGCTTGAATAATTCGTCTTGGTGAGCACTTTGCACCAAGACTGGTAGTGACTGTCATTAGGGGTCTGATGATGAGAACGGTTTACAGTAACTGCCTCGTGTTTGGACTTAATTCATTTATATCGATGAAAACTTCGCATCTATATGGGTTACAATGAAGTTATGCAGTAAATCTGATGATGGAGCCGGGAAACCGTGGTGAGATCTCTTTGGCTATTTGGAGTAATTATGTTGTGTTTGAACTTAATTCATTTATATTGATGAGAACTTTGCACCTATATGGATTATGTATAATGAAGGTCTGCAGTATACCTGCTGATGGAGATCATTGACAGTCGAGGGAATTTCTCGACTATTTACAGCACTAAACACTGACTAACTCAGGACTAACATTACCGTGATTTTCGGTCTCATGTAGCCGTCGTCTTCTCATTTGAAAAGCATTATCCTTGCTAGCTCTGTCTATCACTTAAAATGGTGAATAAAATAATATTGAACAAAAAAAAACCGACTTCATAAAGTAAACTAAAAAAAGTACTAAAAATTAAAAAAATATATTTTCTTTGTATAAAGGCGTTGCCAAGTAAATGCTACATACCAAACAACACCAGTATTAGAAACATGTATTGATCGGTACCTACTAATCATCGTTGTTTTACTTGGCACCGACTTCAAGATTATAAAAAAAAAAGTTATTAATATTGTTTTCTATTTACCTAAATGAAAACATGTATTACTTTGTACAAAGAAAATTTATTTTTTGCTTTATAGTTTACTTTTTGAAGTCAGTTTTTTTGTTACTTAAATATAATTTTATTTGTAAATTGATTTAAATTCTGATTTTGATATAAATTGTGACAGATTTTATTAGGTATACTACTCTGTCAAGAAAGTACCGGGAAAAAGTCAATAATACACAAAATGTTTGTTATTCATCTAAATTTATTTTATCACCTTCAAAGTATGCTCCTTCAGAAACGATACACTTACGCCAACGAATAATCCAATCATCGAAACTTTTTTTAAACGCTGTTTCCGGAATTGAGTTCAGTGCTCGCCGCGAATTCTCCTTTATGTCTTCTAACGATTGAAAACGGGTGCCACGAAGGGGTAATTTGAGTGTGGGAAAAAGAAAGAAGTCGGCTGGAGCCATATCTGGTGAATATGGTGGCTGCTCGATGGTGTTTGTTGAGTGTTTGGACAAAAAATCGTTTACAATGATGGCCTTGTGCGAAGGCGCATTATCGTGATGCAAAATCCAAGAATTTTCTTTCCACATTTCTGGCCTTTTTCGTCGAATTTGTTCTCTTAAACGCCGCATAACGCTCAAATAATATTCTTTATTTACCGTTTGACACAACACACAAACACCGCGATAGTCAAAGAAAACAGTCAACATGACTTTGACTTTTGATCAACTTTGACGTGGTTTTTTCGGTTTGGTTCAGTTCGGTTTGAAGGCGCCATTCCGAAGCTTGTTGACTAGTTTGCATGTCAAACTCGTAAACCCACATCTCGTCACCAGTAACAATGCGTTTCATGAATGTTGGGTCGGTATTGACTCGTTCTAGCATGTCCTCAGCGACTTTCATGCGATTTAGTTTTTGAAGAAAATTCAGGTCTTTTGGGACTAGCCGAGCGGCAACACGTTTCATACCCAAATTATTTGTTAAAATGGTACGGATCGACTCGTGAGATACAGAAATTTCGGCGGCCATCTCTCTCAAACTTGAATGAGGATTTTCAGTCACTATTTCCTTCACTTTTAACTACTTAACTTCACTACACTACTACACTTAACTTCAGTTGCAGACGTTGATGGCCTACCAGAACGAGGCAAATCTTCCATCACATCTCGACCGCTTTTGAACGCTTTGTACCACTCATAAGCACGTGTTTTTGATAAAGTCGATTCACCTTAAGCCTTCTGTAACATTTTGAGTGCCTCCGAACACGAAATTTTATTGGCGATGCAAAATTTAAGACAAACTCTTTGTTCGATGTTTTTGTCCATTATGAAATTCGCAATACACACAAATATTATAAAACTAAAAACAGCACTGTTTTTAATATAAATAACAGATGCAACTCAAATTCCGCGCCAAAATGGAAAACAGTTATACCAATCTAACAACAACAAAAAAAATTAAAATTCTAATTTGGAACCATAAAAAAAACAATCATTCCCGATACTTTGTGCTTTTCTAATATATGATATCTACGAAAGAGAGATAAATGTATAAAAACAAGATACAGGGTGTAAAAAGACACTTAACGAAGCCGTTACTACGCATACTGCAGTTCTAACTAAGTAGCTTTACGCTAAAATTATCACTGGGAAACGACTTTTATTTTTAGGTATCAAAAAAAATAATAATTTTATTGCGCGCAATGTAAAGCAAACGGGCTTCGTGTCATTGTGTGCGTAGGTTCACAGCTTAGCATGAAAACGCTGTGATAAGTACGTAGGTCGTCGTAACTTCAAATGCGTAATTTATTTAGAAAAATCGAAAATTCAGGTAATGTTTGTTTGGAAAAAAGTTTTGTAATAACACTTAGAATTCGAGTGCGCAAAAAAAAATTTTAAAAAATGCATCTTTGACCTTCAATAACTCGAGAACCCGTGGAGTCCCAGCTATGGTCTTAAAGAAAAAAATGATCCAAATAATGGGTAGAATACGTGGCTTTCAGCTTCGTTAAGTGTCTTTTTACACCCTGTATATAACGTATGTGTATACCACTCTGTATATAACTTTCTTTTAAATCCACGTAAACCCAATAGATGGCGCCGATGTGAACGTTTTACCAATAAATGTAATAATAATTTTCGAGAAAGAGTAACATAAATTGCCATTGACAAAATTCCACCTTTTTAATGTCAGCTTAAAATACGTTCCGAGACTGTTCTGGCCTCCAAAGGCCGAATTTCATACGAAAAAGCAATGATATATGAAAAAAAAAATTAACAAGCACATTTTTCCTTCAAATTTCATAATTATATTATGTCAGCAACAGATTTTAACAAATTCACAAAATTATACACAATTTTCTACGTGAATTGATATGCAAACGCAAGTTTTCTTTTAACTTTTTTCTATGTTGCCTGAGCTAAGCGATTTTCCGGGTTCATTTTCAATCGTTCGAAATCAACAAAAGAGTGAGCAAAGCGCAATGAGGTACCGCAGCCCTGCTCGTTGCAGGAGACGAAATGGGGTGGTAAATAGTATGAGTCTGAAACTTAATGCGGGAGAAGTCATACAGTACTAGTAGTTACGCGTTTTAGATCCTACATCACATTAACAACTTCGGCAGATACAGGGTCTTTAAAGAACATTCAGCACATCATTATGCTAAAACGTTTTGTTTGTGACATAATATTTTTATCTGGATTAAAAAAAGTATCATTTTCCTGAAATGCATTTTGTAGAAACGACTCGAATTAAGCTGACCGACGTAGATTAAGTGAATCATTTTTCTTAGCATTCATTCATACATCCGGTAATTGTAATAAAATACCAATACTTAGTTGATTGTCGACATTTTGTTGTGTTCGAAGTATAATTTATCTAATCAACAACAGCGTTGAAGCTCTTACAGATATGATAAGCCTGTGAATCAGATGATAGGTACAAATAAATGATTAGCACCTTCTCTGTCCAGTGAGTTTTCAATCACCTGTGACAAACAGTTCTGTGTCTTGTTTATTAATTAAATAATTACCAACATGTCTCAACGTGAGTAACAGTTTTTCACTTCCACTCAAATACTTATATTTTTCTTCATTTGTTTTGGTATTCTTTGTTTGGTTATATCGATTTGAGATACGCTTTCTTTTGTATAACGTACTTTCTAGAACAGATTATTACTAAAGTTTTCCTGTTGTAATTAGGTTAATGTTTTTAAATTTATCATTAGTTAAAGAAAGAGTAGAATATTATACTGGTATTGTTGGCATCCTCTTACTTAGACTATCGATATTTTATTCAGTTGCTAACTATGTGAAAGTAACACCTTACAGTCCCACAATATAGAGTGCAAATCTAAAGAATTTATTTAAATTTCTTAGATCCACATGGCAACCCACCCTACGGTGGTCCGCCACCTCCTGGTGGTTTTACTTACGTACCGGCTCCAGTAATGATGCCGGTGTATCATCCACCTCCACCGCCACCTCCACCAGAACCAGTCCCACCACCAACTGTAGTCACCAATTACATCTACCACCAGCAACCTCCACCACCACCAGCTCCAGTTACCATTGTTGAAGGTGTGTATTACTATAATAGTTCAGTACATGTATCATCGTTCTCAAGTTAGATACCTACCACCCACTTATGTCCAATAAGGGCGTAATTGCGCACAACACTTACAATACTTATCGCAAACACTAAGCCCTCTAATCTTATTCGTGGAATTGGCTTGCCAATATGATGATAAGACAAATAATGAGTGAAAAGAGAACCTAGCATCGATTTGGCGATTAATAGACAACTATTATTTAATTGTTTGTTCTAGAGTAAGTATACAAATATTAGAAGAGAAATTTAAAATTTACAGACCTTTGAACGAAGGTTTTCCACAGGGGACAACAATCGGCCCAACGTACTTGTCAAACAAATATGTATAGATACTATGGTACTTATATTTACAGAAATCAGAATTCAGCCACAACCAAGTAATCCATGGGCTAATTTACTGTCAACTGCTGAGAAGGGAATATCGACAGTTGGAAAAGGCTTATCCCTACTCGAAACTAAGATGCAGGAAAGAAATAGGAAAATTACTAGTAAGAACAGTCTATGAATTAAGTTCATAGTTAAGTTACAGAAACACAAACTTTCACACATATTAAGTTTCTAAACAAATTTTTCATTCCTAGTTACTATTATTTCATTTTTTTGCTTTGTAGTTTTTTTTTTTATGCGTAGATTGGGTGCGTGGATAAGATTGGTGGTATTCTACACTTTCATCTAAATAATTCTTCTTGTTTTAATGAAATTCAGACTAGTATGATATTTTCTTATTACAGATACAATTGAATGGATACCCAGTACAGGATCTGATGTGGGTACACTGAGGCACAGAGCTTTCGTAGCAGGCAGAGAGGGTTGGGATGGCAGCCCTATTTGTGTGATTAGGGCACACCACAATGGAGAGTTCGTTCCAGGAAAGCTGGCCATCAAACACCAGGCCGCCTACATCCCACATGCAGGTCGAGAGATTCCTGTCCACAATTTCGAAGTAAGTTTGAATCTCTGTCTTTCTAATAAATATACCTACCTGGCTTAAACCCATTATTCCGCGAAATATGTACGTCTTCAACCAATTTTGAGTAGCATTTTCCTTACAAAAAGCCCACGTTTGACCTAAATTATATGATAATATTTTTTGCTGATATCATCTTGAAAAAAACATGATTAAAATAATCTTGTTTACTTTCACTTTCTTGTAAAGTTGATTATAAAACATTATACAGTGAACTTATTCCAGTTTATGATGATGGATACATCCTATTGATTTTATCTATTTGATACTAGTTGTAAACTATAGATGATATTATCATTAGATGGTTTACGACAAACAGACTCCTACTGATTTCGTTGAGAAAAAAATAGATGTTTAAATGATGATTGCTGTTTAATTTTCAGGTTCTGTGTGCCTCATCTCACGCGGTCCGTTGGCTGCCCAGCAGTAACGGCCAGGTCCCAGTAGGAGCCATTCCCGCTGGCAACACCCACAACGGCGAACCACTTTACATTGGACGCGTTACACACATGGGATCTATCACACCCGGCAAAGTAAGTTATAAGTTATTTAAACATTTGGCCTACTTGTAACTCTTCTAGTACCTATTGCAGGTTTTTTTTAAGGCGGTGCCTATTTGCTGAATATTAGGTTACTCGTCTGGTCGTTTAAATCAATAACTCATAAAAATGCCTAAAAACTATGTAACAAATACTCATATTATTAGAAGTTAATGAGTTAACAATGAAAAATATTCACTTGTTGTTTCAATACTAGATGGTCTGTAATTGGACTGAGCATTTCGAAATAAGCTCATTTTACCATATAAATTATCAGTCAGGTAGTCTTTTTTTGACTTTATGAAATTCACCCTTGTGTCGTTCCTTTGAAATTTCATCGATCTAAACTGGTGAGAGGCCTGGTTGGTTACTCAAATTTCCATTTGCGAAAGTTTTTTTTTTGTGAGGGGAAAATCATCAAATGACTTCTCCCGCCCAGGGCCGGGCAGGAGGGAGTGTCAGACTCTTACTGACTAAAAACCCCCCTGTTCCTTCTCCTGCTCTGTGCCGAGGTCGCGGTACCTCATTGCGCTTACCCCGCAACCCCGGCTGAACATCAGCCCTTTAGGGCCCCATCTGTGGTGGTCGAATGGCTCTTTGAGGCGCACGCGGAACGCTACGCGCCGTACGCTCGGGATTTGCGAATGTTAATGTGATTATTTTATTACTTCAGGTTCACCCCAGTCACGGCTGCTGCTACATTTCGTTCAGCGGAGCCGAAGTTGCACACAAATCCTACGATGTACTCTGCAGAATTGTCGGTTGAGAAGGAAAAGAAGAAAAGAAATAAATATTACATTTTTCATACTTAAGATCATCATTATCATTCGGAAAAAAACTATCTCGATTATATTTCCAGAACTAATTTTACTATTGCATGTGAAGATTTTTATAGTATAATTGAATTGATGAATGAAATTCGTTTGTATTTTTATTTGGTGAATTAAATATAAAACATGCACCTACAAATATTTGTTTTACTGCATAAAATATATCTACTTCACTCAAAACCATTTGACCAATATTTAATGTTTTTGGTCATTATAAGATTTTGGCCACATTGTCACAAGTGAATTAAGAGTCGTACGTACGTAGAGTCTACATATCTCGGTCGTAAAGAATGCCTTGACATCTCTACTCTCTTGTAGAGATAGCATAAGGCATTTTTTTGAGATGCAGTTTTCTTGTCTGCACGTGTTGTATTCATAACGTGAAAGTCAGAAGTAATCCTTTCTAAAGAGATCTTAGGAGATAGGTATACAATATTTGCAAAAACTTGAACCGATGACTTCCGCGCCATGATTCGCCTCCTTGCAGCGACGCCCGTGGACAGTTTGCGAAAATGGTAAAATGATTGTTTTATGAATTAGTTATATAAGTCGAATATAGGCCCATGTGTGCACTTTGAACAATACCTTCATCCAGATGCATTGACATAGACAGATCAACGATTGAATTCATTTATGTAAAGTATTTACTTAGACGTGGTTTGAATCGGATTACTTGCATTCTAACGACCCTAGATGGCGATAGTCAGATTAAACTACTATCTCTCGCTGTGTGCTATTTGCTGAATAATCTGTATATAAAAATCAAATTTGTTCCTCAATATTAATTTCTTCGAAACCAGCCGACTTGGTTTTGAATGCAAAGACTCGGTTACTTTTGAACTTTAAATATTTGTAACGGTTCAGAAGAGTTTCAATGAGTAAGATTTTTTTCCTGAAGAGGCTGTTCTATAATCTAAATGTGTCTATCGCAAGCTCAAGAACGCAAGGAAGAAATTGAAAAAGTGGAAACTCACGATATCAGCAGAGCTAGAAGGGCGCGTGAAGCAGCAATAGAAGAAACCACCGGGCACCTACGGGCGTGCCAAAGCAACATCAAGATGGATTGTGGAACACGACGAGTTAAGTGTGGGAGAGCCATGCTTCGGCACGAATGGGTCGGCTCGACCGGAGTGATACCACGGCCTCACAGAAAACCGGCGTGAAATAACCACTGCGTTGTGTTTCGCCGTGTGAGTGAGGTTACCGGAGGCCCAATCCTTCCCCTTCCCCAATCCCTCCTCAATCCCTAAATCTCCAAATCCCTAATCCCTAAAAGGTCGGCAACGCACTCGTAACTCCTCCGTTGCGAGTGTCCATGGGCGGCGCTGATTGCTTACCATCAGGTAATCCGTCTGCTCGTTTGCCGACCTATTACATAAAAAAAAAAAAAAATTTTTGTTGTTTAATGATTATATTTATTTCTAAGTCACCTTTGCACAATTATTAGGTCTGTACAATTTTATAATTAGTTACTCCTTTCGGTTGCGTTTCTTGTTGTTGGCAGGATGTACGAGCATCGCCACATGATTTTAATTGTTTAACTTTCTTACCTACTAAGGTTTAAATTATTTCGTCGATTATGCTCTTTTACTTACTCGCTTAGTCGAAGTTTATTTAGGTTATTCTTTTGTAAGATCAGTGTAACCAATAAATTCACTCCGGTAGCACGGACACAAAACAGAGGTTTTGTTCCCTGGCCACATCCCGTCTACTGCAACAATCTACATCAACACAATCTACAACTCTACTGTACGGGCTAGCGGCTCGTATACGTCATTTCATATTTATTTGTGTTTGTGGTTGTACATGGAACATATGATATTTGTGATACATGGCATTGTTAAAGCTTAGCATATTAGTTATTTTGAGGCGGTACGCAGATTTCTAAGATAGTGCAATAGTGTGTAATAAAGTTTAAAAAATGAATGACACGTCAATGAGGTCACACCCAAATTGACAAGGTCATCACTCATCACTCTACTGATAAAATGTTATAAGCAACTATTTTAGGGTTCTACACTATGTTCGCATTCATGTTTATTATCATATTATCGTATCAAGTTTGCATGAAATCACAACACAATTTTTTATTCCTTTCTTTGCCCCTGAATGTGATGCTGGACGGGCTTTTAGTTAGCAATGTTTTAACCAAAAAAATAATTATGTATAAGTTACCATTAAAGTAAAGAGCTTAATCTAGGAAAAAAATCATATTCCATGATCGTAATTAAAAAAAATACACACAAGTAACGCCATCTGTCTTTCAACGCTTAAACGAATGCCACCAAAGAGGATAATATAAAAAACAATCAACTGCCATTTTACTTAATAAACTGCAATTTCCTAACCATCAGCAAGTCCATCTGAACTGATGATTTCCATATCTCAACCACTACTGGAGACAGTTAATGCCAACTGCATCCTATATCAGAGGAATACCTATCCTACTAATGTTAGCAGTACATGCCGTTATGATCGCAAATAGGGAGGTGGCCCGCGTGAGGGAGCAATCCTCCTCCTCACGCCCCAGCCGACGCAACAGGCGACGGGAATCAAGGGAAGATCTCCGGCCATCGTAAGCGTGGGTCCACGAGTAAGGGCAGCTCGCCGCCCAGACCAGAACCAGGCCCGAGCGTACGGCGCGTAGCGTTCCGCGCGCGCCTTAAAGAGCCAATAGACCACGAAAGACGGGGCCCTCTAGGGCTGATGTTTGCGGGATTGCGGGGTAAGCGCAATGAGGCACCGCGACCTCGGCCCAGAGCAAGAGAAGGAACAGGGGGTTTTTAGTCAGTAAGAGTCTGACACTCCCTCCCGCTCGGCCCTGGGCGGGAAAAGCCATTTGATGATTTTCCCCTCACAAAAAAAAAAAGCCTCGGCGTAGAGCAGAAGAAGGAACTAGAGGTTTTTTGGCAGTAAGAGTCTGACACCTCTCGTCTTACCTTGGGCGAAAAAAGTCAGTTGCTGGTTTTCTCCCCACGAAAGAAGTAGTCACTAGTCACTACATACGTGACTGACTAAAACGAAAAGAAAATAGAACGAGGAAACCAGCTTAACATGTACCTACAAGGATACTCTAATATTTATATAACAACGGGAATATGACAACAATTAACAATAACTTTGTAACGTCGATAGGTTTTAAAAGTATTGTTGAATAATATACCCAAAGACATAGTTACAAATAATATTTAATTAAAATAAATTAAATGATGGCAACACAGCATCGTGATTAGTCCGTTTCGTGACTCGATTAGCTCGGGCGTTTCTGTTCAGTCCTGTCATCTCATCATATCCATAGGATGTTCAGTCACTTGACCGCCATCTGGTGGAGGTGGCTGGAAACCTCCTTCGTTATTGTAAGCCTGGTCTACTACTGTGATACCACCGCCGCCACTATCACCACAACAGCAACTGAAGCAATCGCCCATGATCTGGAAAATGTATGACCAAGAAATTAGTTTTTTATTCAATTAGTCTTCAATGTACATAACTACAGTTATACTGACGACTGACACTATAGATAAGAAATTAATACAATATATGAATAGGTGACAAAGTGTTATACATATAAAAAACCTATTCGAAAAGGTTAAGGTTAAGCCTATGGTAAGCAACTAAGTAGATATCTGGAATTATGAAAAAATATTTTCACAACATATCAGCTGTGTGGTTATGCCATATTAGAGGACGTTTATAATCATCCCTAGTCTTTTAGCAACTGTTTTAAGAGCCGACTAAGGCTTTATTTCCGGAGACGGGCGTCGGGCAGTGCGTCGTTCATTGCTTCTAATGTTTGTGTTTACGCGAACGACAACGTGGCCCGTTGCTGCAATGTACAACGAATACCTAACACGCCGTGTCTCCATAAATGAGGCCAAAGGGACAAAACATTAAATAAAGACAGGCATGATAACGTTGCTCTCTGATAAGCCTTTTAAAGAAGGAATTTGTGAAAATGCCCTCTTTGTGGAGCCTGGCAGCCCATAGCCTTTAAATGTTACAGACTTTACACTCACAAGACACCGTGACAAGTATAAACACCTGAGATACCTATTCAGTGTAGGTATATATACCTATATATATGTAGGAGTTTGGAAAAAAACCTAGGTATCTGTGCCCCAAATCAATAACAAATCTTGAAAACGCTCCAATTGATAAGATAAGGTCTGTAAATCGGTTTTTATGGAATGTTTTTTCAATAATTTCGAATCAGAATATTACGTAAATTAATATGCAAGGATAACAACAGTATTCAATAATAGAAATAAGTAACAATATTTTTGTGAACAATAATATTTAAAAGAATTAATGCATTCCCTATCTGCCAACTATACTAAGTAGATATAGACCTTAAATTTAGAAAAAAATAACTCCGGAATTGCTCATTAACTTCACCGGTCTTGGCCTAGAGCAGGATAAAGAACAGGGGGATTTTTAGTCAGTATAAGTCGCCAAGGCGAGAAGGATTTTCAGTCAGATTCTGAGTGGAGTGCTACAGGCACTGCTCTGGTTGTCTTACATAGTTAGGTTTTACGATATCGGTGGGAAAATAGGTGTGGTAACAGCAAAAAAAGAAGAAGTTATGGAGAACCTACTTGTAAAATGATTACTTATGACTTTCTTGTATAAAAACTTTAAAAAGCATAATTTGTATCTGGTTTAACCTGATTTTACTTTTTCATGAAGTTTAATATTTAAAGTATTTTTTCACAAATAGGTACACAATTGATAAAATTTACTGCTTTTTTATTGTTTATGTTTGGAGTGTAAACGATGTTAAACACATACTAACAGTATGGCAATACACATGTTATTTTTTATGCACACAGCCAACATTGGCCCCTACATATTAAATAGATATATGGGCCAAAACTGCCTGGTGGCTTAAATATTTTTAAGTCTATGTGAGTACCTAACACACACATGCAGTAAATTACTGTGCATTATGTAATGTATTATTTTTTATTAAATAAAATGGGACTTACTTACGTTTATTTGAGTGCACCCAGCCGCTGACCCTGTTACAAAACTGTTATTTATTTTTACAAACGACTTATTATGTAGCCTACTTGTTAGCTAAAGCGATGCCGAGTGTTCAAACCGATAAGATAAAATCGCCGATAATTCTGCACCAACTAAATAGGCGTTACTAACTAAATAGGCTCCAAAAACAATAGATGTTTTTTTTTAATAAGTAACTTTTATTAATTTATTCGTACACGAAGGGCCAATGACAGAACCTATAAAGTCTTGTATAGTCAATTTTCATACAATAAGTTATATTTAAATAAGAGCTAGGTACTTTTTTGCTTCATGTTAACTGAACATAATTTCAAGTTATCTTTTTCTGACACTTTATAAAACTGAAAAACAATCTAAGGCCAGCTAGAGAGGATAGCTTTTCGTATGAGGTTTTCAGATGAGGAATTCGGATACGATATTCTATGAAGACTAGTGTACTGACTGTATTCGTACGGTTTTCTTTACTAATATTATAAAGAGGTAAAATTTGTATGTTTGTATGTAGGGGGTTATCTTTGGAACCGTCGGATTTCCATAATTATTTCACTGATAGATAGCTACAATATTCCTGAGTGCTATAGGCTATAAAACATCACGCTACGATTAAATGGAGCCGAGCTGCGAGTGAAACCGCGAGGGAGTAGCTAGTTTTATATAAAATTGTCATGTTTAGGTATGGCCAGTCTCTACACGTGGAAACAAATTTAAATTTCCGTATGTTTTCGCTGGACGAATCAAAATGTACGATAGCACTACGGTCGAGTGGACTTCATTCCGTTCCTTTACATCCTTCGTTCCGAACTCAACGTATCAAACGTTCGATAAAAATAGTATACTGTGAGACTTGTTGAACGTTTTTATTACAAAACAATTCTTTGGACATGTTTGAACGTTTTTCACGCAATTTTTCCAACAGATAATGAATCAATCATATATAGTAAACATGTACAAAGGTCAAGGAATAGGTGTGGAAATCGATATCTAAGCGATAAGTCGAAAAAATACCTAAATTGTATTTAGTATTAATTGTAATAGTTGATAATAACGAAATCAATAAAGCTATAGATAACAATAGGTACTTGGTTTTTCAAGTAGTAACAACACAGTGCTAATAAAATTGAAGGTTCGGTATTGACGCGGTTACCACTTCCATAGTCATTGACAATCTTGGACTGAAAACGTAATTCATTAAGCAGCTCTCAGAAAAGGCTATAGTTTCAAAAAAGAGACTCACTTATTGCAGTGTTGTAAATTAAATTATCAGCACTAGATAGAAGGCATTTGCACAGCTCTTTGAAGCCTCGCGTTAAGACGATTCTCAAATAAACTCGTGTTTATCTGTAGATTTATGTTTTAGACAAGTGTCAAGCTGTGCTATACTAAAGCTTATGACGTATACAAATAAGACAGTTACACAAGCAACAGTAAGATTGGCAACAAATACATTAAACTAGATTCGTCACACATAAAAATACTCACTTGGATTTGTTCACAGTTTGTTACAATAATCAAATAATATACTATACAGAAATATGACCAGGAAGTCACACTAACGAACCGATTGTGACACTGTTTAATAACTTCCATCAACACATAAAGATACCCAGGTGTTATCAGCTGCTTATCTATATATTGATATCAAAATGTTAGTAATAACTAAATACCTTCCACCTCCCACCTCCCACCTCATGACTCAGCCGACTACATTATACAAAAGCATTGTTAAAGATATAAAAGAAAAGGTCGTCCACTACTCTTACCTTAACTATAAGCTTTTCATCTGTACATTTGTTGAGGATCATAGCCTGGGTATCCTTGTTGGGGGGGATAGCCTGGATAGCCGCCTGGTGGTGGGTATCCTCCGGGTGGTGGGTATGGGTAGCCGGGCGGTGGTGGGGGAGGTTGCTCGTAGACTACTGGCGGTGGTTGCTGCACCACAGTGACTTGCTGTGGCGGCTGCTGCTGCTGTCCGCATGCGTTAGGGCACAGGCACGGCACCAGGCAGCAAGCACTCAGCGCCAGGCAACAAGGGTTGCAGCAGACCTCACAGTCGCCAACGTCGAACGAAAGACACAGACCCATCGTCACGCACCAGTGTTAACTAAAACCGATACCAAGCAGTTACTTACTCTACTCCTCCCACACCTTCATATACAAATAAAATAATGATAACTGATAAATAATAAATTTTGTTCTGACTTTTAAATAAAGTGGAATAAGTACCACAGTCCTTACAGCTAAATGACAAAATGGCGGAGTGTTATCGTTGTTAACACTGTTATCGCACGTGTTATCTATTGATAAGAAAAGTCAGCCGACAACTATGTTGTTGTGAGGAAAATGACTAAAAAGTCTTGGAACTACTAAAGGATGCGCATAGAGGAAGTACGTACGTAAGCAACTGATGACAAGATGGTTTACTCAACAAATACGTTTTATTGTTAGTATCTGTTACAAACTTCAACATACTTTCCAAATATTAGTCAGTAATGATGGAATGATCCATGTGCGAACTAAAGAAAACGTCACTACACTTATTTTGAATGGAATTAAAAACATTGATGATGAAATAAAAAAAAACGAACAAGGCTCTAAAATTATCACAAGTCACTAAAACATGAAAAGCACAAATTAGTGGCCTAAGAGATACTGAGGCTATTTAGGAATATTCTACATATGTAAATACTTTAGTCAGAACATACGAACTACTACGAAGAAGTTACGCAGCGTCTACGAAGCGACTACGACGCGGTTACGAAACGACTATAATACGAGTATGGCTACGCAATGACTACGCTGAAACGTGCCTAGAAAAAAATAGCACACTGCGAGCACTTCTGTGTTTGATAAAGAAAGTAGTTGATGACAACAGGAAAATCAACCTTGTTGCTTTGTAATAATATCTAATCTACTACTAGCCATTCCTGGAAATCTCAAATAGATGTATAAACAATTGTAGATAAAGTTTGGTGGTCACGTTTAGATAAAAACAATATTTATTATGAAATTATCCTTTGTAATTTTTATATCATTTTTTGATATTTGCTAAGTATTTAATGATATAATTTCAGCTAGGCAGATAATAATGGCTTAAAAAATGAAGCAATGATACCTAATATGATTATGTTCACCACTAAATTAGATAACACTCACGTGTTAGTCTGTATATTTAAAAAATATTCTATTAGAGTAATCGCTAAAAGTAATTAAGCTACAAGTAATTTCCAGACATTGAATTACATTTAACATATTGGCCTATACATACATACATAATATCGTCATACGTAATTTGAAACACGCATATGTGTGTGTATATTTCAGAAATATGAATTGAAATTATAAATTAATAAAGTACCTACCTAATAAATGAACTCGAACTAGAAAGATAATAAATACCGTTACCTTCATAACTTTATACTTATGTTCAACTACTTCAGAGTCAGTCATTTGTTTTATAGGCAACACAACAGCCATTGCATTGAAAGGGTTAACTATATAGAACCTCCTTTGGGAATTAAAAGACATTGCCTAATGATTGCTATAAATATAATATTTACAAATATCGCTAAACACAATACAATCTATGTAAAGTTTTAGGTTATGTGTGAACAATTGAACAATCGTGCTAAGCGATGCCTAGAAACATAACATTGGGTTTTAATAAAAATATGCACTTGCTTACTGCAACAGCAAATTAACAAATTGTAATAGGTAATATGATAAGTATCAATATCAACATCTTTCTAATGTCAGAAAACAAACTTAATTGTCAACTATTAGAGTACAGTTTTCACTGAAGGTTATATTTTAACGATATTGAGAAACTATTGTGAAAACAACAATAAAAATGATGAATAAGATTTTGACTTTATGCTTGTTTAATGTTGGTTAAGAATTTATTTGAGTACCTAAATCAATTTCAACTGAACATTTTCATTCTATCCTTTTCATAATTAACGGAACACATGCACGTAAAATCACGATTCTTTTCAATGATGAACAAATAAATAAATACTATTTTGTATTAGAGTTCTAATTTCATTTACATAACTATCTCACAAAAGAATTGTTCATTTGCAAATATAATGTTATTGTTTGCGCGTTACGTAGGTAGTAGGTAGAAATATGTCATGTACAGCCGCGCAATGTACATTTATTCTGAGAAACATGTGACTGGCATTAAGTAAATAATACCTACATGACGAAAACTTTTTTACTTATATATTTTGTCTATCTAGTATAATTGCAAACTAGGTAGCTCCTACTAGTAGATAGTTTTATTTGCGTTACACCACCATCAAAGTAGTATAATATTTGTTATTTCAGGCTAAAAGTCTCATGTCTGTCTATTTTCCTTTCATTCTGATCTGTTCATACTTTAATAACCTGAATATCCTCCCAAACTGGAGAATTTATAACGTTATTAACATTAGAATAAGAGAAACAATTGCCTACCTACTTCTAAAACTAATATAAATGTCTAATCTTATCTATCAAAATGCATTTTTAAATCATGAATAATGTGTGATAGACAATTATTAATAATATATTACCTTTAAATGTATTTTTATGAAAATCTGCAAAAAACAACAAAAACGCAAACTAAACACATTGCTCAATTAACCCAAGGTGTTAATTTACATAATTAGTATTAGTGGACGACCAAGTTTTAGTATGTATATCCCAAACTAATCGCAATAACTACAGTTATACCCAATCTCTAATTAGTAAAAAAATATAACAAACGCTTACCTGGTGTTTTTATTTTATTATTATTTAAGGTACAACACTGATATTTCCCAACCTCCACGTACAAACACAACGTTATAACAACATGAATGAATCAGAAGTTGCAGCGGTTTGTCACACTGGCTGGGGAAACATTGAAACAGTACGATGACGCGAACGCCTGCGCACTACAGTTTGAAACCAAAACAATCTCTCCGTCTCTCTCCCACTACCACGGAAAAACACACGAGTGACAAACACAACACAATGAAAACTAACTTAGCTATCAGTTGGGAAAATGAGAGCAATGCCGAATCAACCTTGTTTTATTGCACGTAGAAAACGACTTACCATTTACGTGAGGGTAAAACCAGAATTAATTACCGTCGCGTCGTATGAATACAATAGCTACTCGAATTCATTTGAGTAATTTAATAATTAAAACGATGTTTAGAACATTCACTTTTTAGGAGATAGATATGTATACTAGCCAGGGTTGCGGCTGCAAGCGGAATGGTATACTGCTGCCCAGCTGAGACAGGGAAAAGGAACGGGCTGGTTTGATTATCTTAGCTTTATTAATAGGACTGTGTACATACATAGTTGAACGAATAGCTATAGGCGTGTATGCCAGGTAAAACGATTCCAAGGGTCAATAAACCACTACAGACGGAGCCCTACAAAGCCAACGTTCAGTCGGGATTGCGGGGCAAGCGCAAAATGTTACCACGGCGTCGGCCTGGAGCAGGAGAAGGAACAGGGGATTTTTAGTCAGAGAAAAATGTCATAGGTACCTGAATAAGTAACACACACTCCCTCTCGCCTCATCTTAGGCGAAAGAAGTCAATTAACGATTTTTTCCTCACATAAAGAAACTAAATAGGTTAGGTTTGCATGCTTTAAGTACGAGTATGTACATAGGCAAGGGGTGTGCCGTCGCATTATTAAATGAAAAACAAAGAAAACCGTGACGAAGCATGGATCGATGTCAAAATTGATAAAGCGGCCGAGTACTAGTTGGATTCCGTAGCAGAGAGTCGCCCAAATCATAAGAAAAAAAAAGGTTTTTTTAAGTTGACCGAATGAAATAACTACTTACTAAATAAATCGGTAGAAGTTATGATAAATTTGACATGTATATTATAGTTTTTCCAACATCCTATTTCAGAAGGTGAAGGTGACATAATTTGCCATTATGACTTTCTCTCTGGCTCAAACTATTCAATTTAAAAAAAAGGATTTGAAACCTAAATTATACTTAATTTAATATTATTATTCATAACCTACCTATTCATACATAACGCACACGTAAAGGGTTGGTGTAAGAATACAAACACTAATCTGTAAGCGTTTCGTTTTTGTCATTTGACTACAGAACCCTGAAAACAACTCCTTTGAGGTTCGTGCCACAATGACCTCAGGATACTTTTTTTAATTATAGCAACTTTTTTTAAAGACAGTATGCAGTTTATAATGTGCTGAATAAATCTAAATCGGAGTATTAAAATATGGAAATATATTTATTATCTCGTTTTGAAAGTGTAACAATCAAGTATTGATTTTTAAGTTCATTACATACTTATTATAGGCTTCATTCAATACAGTCATAATATTTTCTAAGTGGGGTTTCCATTGCCACTACGGAAAGCTGAATGCTATACAATCGGAAACAACTAATGTCCGAACCTCTTCCGACCTGAAGAATAAACCTACAAGCTGCATAAAAACGCCCTCGTAGCCATTGCCACATCGGATTTTTTTACCATTTATAACACAGGTGTTATTCTCGAAGTCATAAAAGCGATACCCCGGTGCCAGTACGTGAAAAGTTTCATTGATTGTTTTCCGTGGTTATGCGTTTAGCTATTAATTTTAAAATTAACATACATAAAAAGAAATAAAGAAAGAAAAACTATACACAACAAAATAAAAATACTTCAATATTGAAAGGGAATAAGCGCAATGAGGCACCGCGACCTCGGCCCAGAGCAGGAGAAGGAACAGGGGGGTTTTTAGGTAAAAGTCTGACACTACCGCCCGAGCCTGGGCGCGAGAAGAAATTTGATGATTTTTCCCTCACAAAAAAAAAGTATGGAAAGGGAAGGTAAGCAATAAAAAACAGGATAATAAAACAAAAAGAAAATTAAAATACTGAAGCTATATACATGATGTGCTAACGTGATTACAAGTTAATAGCCCATAATATTTTCCGGGGTTCCTAGCGAATCAAGCATACAGCCCCAGGCTTTAGAAGGAGAAGGAACGGGGTGGGTCAGTAGGAGTCTGAAACTCCTTGCTCATCCCAGGGTGAGAGAAGATGAATCCCAGACAGACTTTAGTTATCTATACTTATATTATAAACAGGTAAAATTTGTAAGTTTGTATGTAGATTTAAGTGTGGGAGAGCCATGCTTCGGCACGAATGGGTCGGCTCGACCGGAGTGGTTTTTGACATTTGGCTATAAGTATTGAATTTGACTAGTTGGAAACTACCGTATTACAGTAAAACATTTTACATTCTGTATGTGACACGTCACTGTTTAACTATTATAATATGATCTAGTGCACACACACACATCACCAAGAAAGGTCTTAAAAATTCTGCCAAGTGCGAGCCGGACGTGTGCAGCAGTGGTTCATTAAAACCGAACCACGCACTGAAATAAGTATTGCAAAAAGGAAACTAAATCAATGACTTGGCATGTTTAAAAAAGTCAAAAAAGGCAAAAATCATTTATTCCAATAAGACCCTTACAGGGACTAGGTGTACTGACGACGTCCGCAGTATGGCTGGCAGTGGTTGGATGAGAAGAGCTGAACGTCTAGCTCAGTGGCTGCAATTGGGGAGGCCTATGTCCAGCAGTGGACGACATCAGGCTGATGATGATGATGATGATTAAGACCCTTACATGCACTTTTGAACGTCGAACAAACGTTGAAGATACATGTAGTGACAGTCTGTCGGTCAGTCCTCTTAGTGAAGCTATTTGCTCGTTCCAAAGAGTAGATTCCGATGGAGAAGAACGAGCATGAAACTCCATGGTGGTTCTCTCTACCTTACCGACGAATAATCTTATAATCTAAAAGACTACTTATTAATAAATGTGCCTTTCCTACCGTAGATTCTGACTAATAGGAGGCAGCGGTTTTTGGGAAGCAGCCGCGGGATTGACCCAATAAAAAAAATGTGCCTTACCTGTATAAATCAACTGAATAGAAGTTAAATTGACTTAAAAAATCGTTCTTGTTGCGGAAGAGTGTCTCACGGTTACTGAACACAAGGTTATGGTTGTAATCAGTTTTTATGGATACTTATTGTAACTCTTAAATGCAATTTGGGAGACATTTGCTACAGCTGGTGTGCTTGTAGTGATGTTTTACGCAGATAGGATGAGTCAGCAAATATTTGTTAATTACTTGCATAGGTATTATTAACTGAGTTTTTTTACTTTAAGTAATTATTTATTTATAAAAAAAATTAAAAACACATTATTATTAGAATGAGAGATGAAATTCAAAAATATATAACGTTATGTTTTTACTCCACCAATAATATTTTTAAATAAATAATTTATGATGATTGCGTCACTCTAAAAAAATATTAATAAAACTGTTGAATGAAATAAAAATATTAATAAAATGCTTCATTTTCATTAATAAAAAATCACACTGCCGCACCTTTTTTTCAACGAGATTTTTACAGCCAGTAATCATTATAAACCCAAGTCGCTATAATCACAGTGGGTAATCTGGACAATATCTTATCACGAAACTGCGTCACACTCAATCAATGCCAAAAATTGAGACAGGAGCTCACTCTAGTCTGATAAGCGAACAAGGTATATACAAAATGTGGAAAATAAAACAATGTAGTGATGTCTGAAGAAGACATATCTGTGATCACACCCTCGGAAACTAATGGGATTTATACAAAATCAGTGAAAGTTGATGAAACTAAAAATAAGAAGAAAAAATACACTAACAAAGAAGCGAAAGATGACAAAAAAGCTAAGAAGACTCTGTTACGACGACTACCGAGCATTCAGAGAGCGGTGATACCAGCGTTCGGGAGGTTTCGCAATAGTTTCCGAAGATTGAGTTGTTTCTCCAAACAGGACGAAGACGAGTTACCGATGATGGACATACCACGACACAAGAGTATCGATATCGGCGTGGGCCTGGCACGACGGATGTCCCTGTTCCTTTTCACAAAAAGAACGGTGTGTGTGCATCCTTACCATCCTTACACACCACAACAGACCACGAGAAAAATATACGTTTTTACTGAAGAAAAATAGAGGACTTTATACGTCGTTCTTTTAATGTTTACGTGGTGTCGAATTCGAAAAGTGTTAATTCTATAGCAGTTGTTTCTGCTTGTTTCAATAAATAGGTAACTACTGTTGTTGTTAAAACGGCACTAAAAACAAACGTTATCTAGAGATTCGCCTTATAATACAATTTAAGTCTTTACATGTGTACGTCGTAATTTTTTTAAAGTAGATATTATCATGCTATTTAATTTAAATTTTGTGTTGATTGTGTAAAAAACTATGAAATTGCAACGTAACTAATATTACTTATGTACTAAGAATGTGTTAATTATACGAATAAAATCAACAACATTTGTTTACTTCGTCTGTTATAACAATCCTTGTTATTACCTAATTTACCTATAGATACTCATAATAAAAAAACCATTTGAATACATTCTCCACAATTGTTAAAAGCAACACGTGTCAGGCCATCATTTACTAACATTATATATATGAAGTCTAGAACCAATTGTATCACATAAATCCAATTAAGTTTTTAATCAAAGATAATTGTGGTTTAAACAAACAACCAGACACACACAACTGGTTTTCTTTTGTTTTTTAGCGCTAACATATAACTAATTGGTACCTATACCTACTACGGAATTTTGCTCTAAGAATTTTAGCCTTCCCTATATGTCATACATAAGGATAGAGGTTGAATACTGAACCATATAAAAACGAATTGGTCCACTTTCTTTCATTAGTGCGGTGTCTTCATTCCAAGTGACACTTACATTGTCTTAAGCTTGGTAAAAAAAAAATACCAGAGATTAAAAATCTTGGTTATTTCTTGAACAGGTTTCGCCTATCAATTGGCTGAATATTGTTACCCTTGACACGCAATAATTGGTTACTCAGTTAAAGCTTCAAAATATAAAGTGCCGAAATGACGCGTGCAATTTTATTTATTGTTGCTTTATGCTTTATTGCAAAAAGTAATGGGAAAACGTTCACCGAATGTGAATTAGTTCATGAGCTAAGAAGACAAGGATTTCCTGAACATCAGCTTAAAGATTGTAAGTAGGTAATTTGTTATCTATATTTTCGTTATCCCCAATCCGCCTTGAGCACGCGTGGTATTGTAATTTATGCTCATGTCTTTGCTCAGCTGGAGGCACTTATAGCTTTATACCTATAATGAATGGTGGTGTCGATGATGATAATTTTATTATTAATAAATTTTTGTTTTTAGGGGTGTGCCTAATTGAAGCGGAGAGTTCCAAACGAACCCATGTCGTTGGTGGCTCGAATTCAGACGGTTCCCACGACTATGGCTTATTCCAAATTAATAACCGTTACTGGTGCAACGATGGTGACCATCCGGGCAAAGGATGTAACATACGCTGTAAAGGTAAAATTTCTATTTTTGTGTCTATCTTGTGTGGGAGAGCCAAGTTTCGGCACGAATGCGAACGGTCTGAGTGATACCACGGCCTCACAAAAAACCGGCGTGAAACAACACAGCGTAGTGTTTCGCAGTGTGAGCGAGGTTACCGGAGGCCCAATGCTTCCGCTCCCCTATCCCTCTCCAATCCCTTAATCTCCTAGACCCTAATCCCCAAATGGACGAAAGCGTACTCCAAATTCCTACATTATTGCCATGGACGGCGCTTATTGCTTTCCATCAGGTAATCCGGCTATACGTTTACTGTCACATAAAAAAAACTTGAGACATAGTGCCGTTATGAAATGACTAGAAGAGCTCACCTCAACACGTAACCTAGTCGCCTCAACACGTAACCTAGTCGCCTCAACACGTAACCTAGTCGCCTCAACACGTAACCTAGTCGCCTCAACAGGTAACCTTATTTCCAATAAGTGAAATATCGAATTTACTTATAATCTAGCCATGTGGTGACACTATTACTTCTCCTACTCTTCTCATGGGTGCTGTTCGGGTCATATTTAACAGAAAACATGCAACGGCTTTCTCGGAGAAGCCTGGTCCTTTAACCCGCTTGTCAGCCATGACATTCTATGCCAAACTCCATTGTCCAGTAGCGAATTCCACAAACTGGTGATGATGAGATCCATTATATCATCACGCCTGTCTCGTATATTTCGGTAGGAAGAAACTATGGAACTACAAGTAACACGGTGCTAGCATACCTCTTTCTCTTAATCTACGTACATTTGTATCTATGTTCGTTAAGGATCTTCTATATTCATCTCAATAATTAACTAACCAATTCAAAACTGAAAATTACCTAGTCGTGGCAAGAAAACCGGCTAATTATCCGGTAAGTAATTATTAATTGCGCAATTAAAGTCTTAACTAGGTAATTGTGATGGTAATTAATTCATTATAAACATAAGTAATTTCATTAGTTGTTCTGGATCTCGCCTACCTAGACTAGTACCTATACCTTTTTTTTGTCAGGGGAAAATCATGAAATGACTTCTGCCGCCCAGGGAAGGCGGAAGAGAGTGTCAGAGTCTTACTGACTAAAAACCTCCCGTTCCTTCTCCTGCTCTGGGTCGAGGCCGCGGTGACTCATTGCGCTTAACCCTTATAAAATATATTAATATTTTCCCATAAAATATGAATATATTAATATTTTATGGGAAAATATAAATATATTTTTTGGGAATTAATCACTGAAATATTATTTATTCGTTCTAGATCTGTTGCTGGATGAAATCACAATAGCATCTCAGTGCAGTAAGACTATTTTCGGTGTCCACGGATTCAACGCCTGGGTCGGATGGGTGAACAAATGCAAAGGAAAGAACTTACCCAATCTTCATTGTTAGTTTTTTTATTTAAAAAACTTTATTTTGATATAAGTAGATATTAGATGTACCTATTGTATTTTATTACCACAATTTTCGCTTTCAAGTTCATTATTTCTTCATTACAGTTTTTTGATCATGTATATGAATTAGGTACCTATTTGTTTAATCAATCATGAAATAAAATTGGAATAAGTATTTTCATATTATTTTTTCTTTCCATTATCCTATTATACAAAGTTACATTCAGACCTACTAATTTATGTAGGTAGGTACCTTATACGAATAAATAATTTCTGCCCTGCATAGCAAAACTTTGCAATGATCTTTTGGCAGAGGTATTTCCGAACCGATGCAACCAATCCGACCTTCAAGAAACGAGCGTGCTCCTTTTTAGAAGGCTGTTACCATATTGTAAGCCTCTGGTGCCGTATGTGTCCAAGGGCAGCGCCGATTACTTACCATCAGGTGATCAGAGGGCTCTGTCTGTGGATCTTTTTAAAAAAATAGACACAGACAGTTTAAAAAAAAATTATAATATATTATAGAGATGGCACCCTATGCGTGACGAGTCAAAAATGAATAGGTACCTATTGATCGTACGACAAAGATGTAATAAATATCATATTATTTTATGAATTATTAATAATCAAATGAATATTAAAATACTAAACTTTGTTTTTATTCCTTTCTATATTTTTATTCCTTTGTAACTTGTAATAAACTGTATAGGTAAGGCGTGTTTTTGATTCGGCATTCCGCTTCACCTGCGCTTACTATATTAAAAACGATTCGACGTGTAAAAAAACTTGTGAAACAAAATTTGTAGAGATTTGAATTTATCTTCTATAATATTGATAATGAACATAAATCGCAAACCCTATGGGGGACGAGGTATTTGCAGAAAATGTAAAAAAACGTTTTCTGTTACCTTTCACCTTAATTTGTGACTGATGCGGACACGTTACGGTATGTAGGTTTTGAGGCAAGTTATAGGAAGTCCAAATAGACCTTAATACAAATGTACAGCTTGGTATCTCAAATTCCGAGATCCTTACCTTATTTTGACTACAATGACTGGACTATTTTAATTTAAATATACATAATTATACAGTAACATAAAAATATTTAAGTTTTGAAAAATAAAACTCAACATTACGTAGAATGGTGCTTTTTATTAGTTAAGGAATCATAGCATGTTGTGTTACATATTATAACAATTTATTACTGTAATAATACTCGTTTCTGTGATTTGAGATTCTTGGGTGATTATAACATCGATGTCAATAAATACTTTTCGCAAAAAGCACAATATTAAATCTAGGTATAAGTACTAGTCCCGGTTGGTTTTTACAATATTGTTGAGATACTGTGGAGGTGGTAACTAGAATATAGAGCTACACGATAGTCTACGTAGTAACGATTGTCCTGTATACTACAGGAGTAATTACAAAACACTTTTTCTTAAAGTTATTAAATATCAAAGCACCACATATACATTAACCTACGAAATCAGCAATTCTAAACACCTGCCTAATAGGTAGGAAATTTATGCAGATAGACGAAATTTCATCTATGAATAATTATTGTATAAATGTCCTTTACTTGGTATACCCGTAAAGTGCATTAAAACCGGCCTCTGAGCTGTGAGTAAAAACAATTGCGTATAATAAGCTAATTACAATAGTATGACACTCATTAGACTATATATTAGTAACTCATATAATTCACTGGATACTTAAATAATAGGTTTAATATCAAAAGTTCAATAATTTATTATATAACATTTTTAATATGCAATCGTTTAAGTTAAAATCATTGAAACTACCGGCAATTAAGTTTCCAAGCAAACGTACAAATATTTTTAAATGTAAGTAGGTACTTCTAGACATATTGCACATGACTACGAAGGTTCATTAAAATCAGTTCAGTAATTTCCATGATTTTTACTTGAAAGACTAGAAAACCTGTGCTGCATTATATATCAACGCCCTTATATATGTGCACACTTTCAACTATTACTTAAGGCCCCTTTGACGAACAAGCGGAGAGCGTCGCGGGTCACCTCGTGTGTTCGTCGCATCTACATATACATATCAACAGGCCGCATTATTCCCCGCTCAACAAAAAAGATTGTGAGCAAAGTACGACGGACTCTACTACGCACCTCGAAACACTCCGCGTCTCCGTAGCAGAGGTCTTAGTTCTACATAGAGTTCACTCATTCACCACATAATCTCATTGATTCATACATATTTATATATTATTTAGTAAATAAGTTTTATAATAATATTTTTTAGTAACTAAGGGTAGGAATGTGTCTATAATACCTATGTTCAATTAATATTTGGAAGAAAAATACATGTATAAGTTAGTGATCACATCAATTTCACAAATCTAATTAAGAAGTTGTAAATACAAAATAACAATGAAAATAAAATACTTAAACAAAAACACAAACAATACATTAAGTTTGACTTAACAAATCACACATGAAAAAAGTAATCAAACCAAGCTCTCATAAAAAAATTCTTTGCTTGAATGGTGTTGCTGATCGTACAATGACGGGAAGTTAGTATTACTATGTCACAATATTGGACAGAAGTTCCGATCGTTACAGAAGAATCCGAACAGGGTAGGAATCCCTATATGACTTTAATACAAACGCTAAGGAGCCTCCTGCAACAATGCTCTGGTAATAAACAACTGAAGTGCAGCAGCTAAATCAAAAAAAATTTTTGGTGGGCGAAAAAATTGATTAATTGAGTCAGTGAATTATTGAATTGGGTAGGTAGTTTCCTAGGTCAAAAATAAATTAATTCGACGAATTAGATATTTTTAGCTATATATAAAATATAAGTCGAATTTTAAAAAAATATGTAAGCTATTTGACTTAAAAAATACTATCACGTCATAACACAGTATTTCATACAAATTTCATAGAAAAGTGTCGTTTTTGACATTTGAATAAAATTATTGAATTTGACTAGTTGGAAACTACCATATTGTACCGTAATCGCATGATCAGTAACAAGCAGGCTAAGAGAAGAGAATAAATCATAATATAGGTAATTAACAAATATGTCATTTTCGCTTTTTTATTTTTTCAGTTCAGACACTCGCTATAAACATAATATAGGTACACTGCTACTGCAAATGATCTAATTGAAGCTTCAAAGAATCAGAAAAAACAATATTTTCAACTGACAATATCTTTTTTCCTATAATTTTTGGAAACTTGTTGAATTTTTAACTATTCTATTATGCTTTTAAAATCATAAAAAAAAATAAAATCTGTCAAAATATTCTGTTATTCCATTAGGAAGAAGAGTATAGTTCTATATTAGAAAGTGGAACGACAAAAGGCCTTAATATTGAGTCATCACCCGCAACATGCAGAAATATGCCACCATTTTATATATATTGTATCAGTTATGAAATATGGCTACGACTTTCTTAGTTTCGGAGTATTAAGTACATGTATTTAAATGAAACAAAATAATTAAGTATCAATAAAATGAGCTAAGTAGTTATAAAAGAGCATTGATTCGAGATTCAGTTCAATTAATTATGTTTGATGCTTTTTGGTTTAATACTATAGAAAAATATTTTGTCATGCACTTATTTGTTTCCTAACTCCTTATTTCTAATAGTTGATGCTTCAATCGCGTTGATCAAAGTAGCCCTGAAACAAGTGAAAATTTACACATTACCATAAATGGTTGTGCCCACAGCAGCACTAAAGAAGGCTGTCACGTTTTTGGTATCAGTTCATTTCGATAACTAATATGAGTATAATATTTTCTTGTTCCATAAATAAAACTAAAAGATGGAACCTTTATTATTCACAGGGTTGTGTTAGTTCAGCAAATTCTAATACGCGAAATTGGTAGATATTAGTAGTTTATCTTAAATTTTTATCTTATTATTAGTTACAAGAGTCTGCTCACCTTAGATTGCCATTCTCAAGTGCAGCAATTCCAGCAATAGTAGAGCCACCAGGTGAACATACTTCATCCTTCAGTAACCCAGGGTGTTTTCCAGATTGCAGAACCATTTGACCACTACCTACTACCATCTGAGCTGCAAGACGCATTGCAGTAGCCCTTGGTACACCCTGCTTCACAGCCCCATCAGCTAATGCTTCAATTACCACATACATCTGAAATTTTAAACAATTCATATTACTTTCAGAACACGTATGATAACTTCAGTTGAATTAACACCTGGTATATAGAGAAAAAATTGAGTTATCACTCAAAAAGGACTCTCAAATTATTATTACCGTAGCTTTAAAACGCACTGCAACTCATGAAGTTCGCAGACACGGTGTGATTTTTGAGAAAGCTTTAAATATAATCGGAATTACAGTAGTTTCCAACCCGTCAAATTCAATACTTTTTTTAACCAAATGTCAAAAACTATACTTTCCTATGTAATTTGTATGAAACTCTGAATTATAACAACACTATTTTTGCATCTAATAGTCTACCTTTTTCTTAAAAATTTGCTAACAAATATCAACAATTTCGTGTATTGACGTGATTTTTTAATACCGGGTAAGTTCGGGTCACTTTGACCCTGCGGGGTAACTTTGATCCAAACCCTTTAACCAATAATAACTGAGAACCAAACATATATTAGTTTTTCATTGGTTCGAAAATTTGGATCAAAGTTACCTCCCAGGCTCAAAGTAACCCGAACTTACGGTATTTTATTGTATTTAAGCATCAAATTAGTTTATTTTTGATCTAGGAAACTACCAAATTATGTAAAATTTTATTTTACTAATAATAGTGAAGCACAGATATACAATAAGAACTTACATAAGCTGGAGCACAAGCAGTCAGTGCCCCCAAGGCATCCATTAAATATTCTGGAATTTCCTCACACAATGCAGAACCGCTAAGAAGTTTCTTAAATCTTGAACATTGTTCAACTGATACTTCATTGTCTGGAGTGTAAAGACAAATACCCGCTCCAATGGTGGTGGGAGTGTTGGGCATTATTCGTAACACAGTAGTCTTCACGAGTGGAAGCGAATATTTTATCATCTGGAAATTTAAGATATACATTTTTTTTAGAAAGTGTCAATCTTACTAATTTTATAAATGCGGAAGTTACGATGTTTGGATTTCTGGATGAAATTTGGAACAGGCGTAGGATACACCACGGAATAGGACATAGGCTACTTTTATCGACATACCACGCGGCCGGAAGCTAGTTAGCAATGTATTGACAATTGACATTGGTAAATCAAGGATCTTATTGTTCGAGTAATTTAATGGTAATTTTTGTTGAATAAATAAACAATGATAAAAGATGAATAAACAAACAATGATAAATATAAATATCATTTGATGCATTAACCATTATGAAGAAATGAAATAACGTAAAGAAACTAAACAATCGAATCTACAGTTTGGAACAAACACTAATGCTAAGAACTCACGGAGCGATTTTCGCCCGCGTCCGCTGCGGTTGCGGGCCCGCAGCTTCTATAGAATTCAAATATTTATATAAAAAATTAAAGCACATTTCACGACGCGTTTTACGCCCGCGGTGTACGCGGTTGTATGCGGCTCCCGCTGTACCGGCGGGCAACTAGTAGAATCGCGCGGGCCGCGGTTACCCGCAGCCTCGGCGGCTGGCACCCGCGCGCTTTGCGATCGGTTGGCGAGCGACCGCGGGGGCCGGCGGATCTTCTGTGAAGTAAATATAACGCAACGGCTCGTTTCTGGTGTGTGTCCATGGCGGTCTGGACCTCAACTGATCGTTAACCGCCCGTCTTGCAATCTTGCGATCATCGCCCGCAAATGTGGCGGGCGATGATCGCAACCGCGGCGGCTGTGTAACCGCGCAAATAACCGGTCTCGTGAGTTTGGAAATAAAACCGCAGTTCCGCTACCGCGGCGGGCACGGTTCAAAATCGCTCCGTGAGTTCTTAGCCTAAGCTTTCACTGTTGAACAGACTGACAGACTATTATTGTTTTGAAAGTAACTACTTATTGGATTTAAATGATAATGAATTTGACTTAGAAAAAATAATAATTACCTTATGAAGATCATTTATAAGAATACCTGGTAACATAGATACAAACAATACTTCTTTTTTTAATTGCGTTGGATGCTGGATGCTTTGAAAAACTTCGCTTAATTTAGTTACTTTTATCCCTAAAAATATCATATCACAATTCATAAATACTGTTTTGTTATTTGTAGTAACATTAGCACCCATGTCACTCCAGTGTTGTAGATTTTCTATGTGGGGCCCTGACACCCATATATCAGATGCAGATTGGACACCTGAAACATAAACAGCCTTATTAGAATACAAGGTTTTTCTTTAGTCTAGGTCTAAAACATTGAGCAAACATTTGTATTTCGAATGAAAGCTAGGTGATAATAAAGATTCAAAATTCAAAACCTGTCTCAATTGTTTAATAAAGATAAATCTTGTGTTGTGACGATACTAGTCATATTTAAGATCTTTATTTCGTCTGCAAAAACTATATTTTATTTTATTTATTTATTTATTTATTTAAAAGTTTACAATATAGTCTTTACAGGTGTACAGTGTAGACTTTGACTAGCATTATTTAAATCATTGAACTTTTTCGACCTACATGGAAACTACACTTTATACTATATTGGAATATTTAAGACAAGTATGTTCGTAAATACGTACCACTCTTAAGGACTCCTTTAAAGATGGCTGTGGACATGTTACCCCCACCAATAAATCCTAATTTAAATTCCCCCATTGTATACTACTTTTTTTGGCAAAAAACCAACTATGTATGCAACAAAAATGTAAATGAGGATAAATGTGAGTATTTCCTGATGAGGTAATACAATTTTATTTATTTTTTAAATCTAGTGAGATCCCAACGATGTACAAATGAAAGTGTATTCCTTAGAGGCTTAAAGTATATTCTTGAATGGCAACAGTGTCTCCAATTCAGTGTTTATAGACCCGTTGAACTATAACTTCGAGGGAGTTCGTTGTTAATAGCTGAAAAGACAAAACATTCAGGTGAGCTACTGATTCTAAACTATTTTACTTTACATACATTAATGGTCAATTAATTAGGGACAGTTTAAACACCTATTTAAAATGAGATATAACATTATAAGTCTTTTATTAACTATCTCATATATTTGATATTATTGTCTGTCATTGTATTGTTGTCAAAAATCATAACATGTAGTATTTTACTTTTAGCATAAAAAAACTTGTCAACAACCTCTTTTTGCCCTCTATGGTCGAAAAAGTTAGTTGTTGTAGCTTTTCATTTGCATGTTTTTGTGTGCGACAACCTCGGCATCACCGCAAGCCTGCCGCATACAGCAAGCCTTAGCAATTATATTAGTTCATTCAGTTTAGAACATGTCAAAGTACCATACATATGTCTTGGGGTGGCAACTGTTTCTTTTATCCTTATAAAAAGCATTATAAAAAAGAGAACACAATGATATTGAAACCAGACTTTTCACAAAAACAGATTAATATCAAATGGATTCTTACCCAGGTCAAATACTGGCTGACTGACTTCTATCCAATATTGTGACACAATAACACTAAATTCCCCTCAATGTGATCAGCAATACCTTCAAGCAAGAAAAATAATTAATGAGAGCTTAGCATGATATTTTTTTCCATGTGTGTTTTGTAAGGTTAAGTATAATTTCAAGATTTCGTCAGTTTTAGAGGCATACTAGGTATAAGAGGTCCTTAAGAGTGACACAATATTTACAGTGGGTTGTCCTCAACGGTGTAACATTGCTTACCGTTCAGGCTTTTCGCTAGCTTCAGAGGGTTATTACGGGAAATAGGGTGAACCTACAGGTCTCTTTCTATTACCCGATGATTCAAAGTCCATTAATTTGAAATTTGGATTATCTTGGGGTAGAGCTCAGAATACAGAACTCTGTATTCTGAGGGGTAGAGTAACAGAAAAAATCGGTTGTGTCCGAGGATTAATCAGGGGGCCAGGAGACTTCTCCTTTTCCAACTTGGAGAATGGAAAGAATAAAAACAGAGAAACAATTAGTATTAAAACGTAAAATACCAATAGGTACCTTGTTAAAAATTATACACACACCACATACATAAAAACAACAAAATCGAAAGTCGACGTTATATTTTTTTTATTTTTTTGTCGTTGCCTTCACTGTTTTTGTGTTTTCGTCATTTCGTTCACGTATAGACGGGTTACGGTTACGGTTACATACCATTGAAATAGAAAATATATAGAGGCGCCGTGTTACTATAGAAGTATACATGCTTATACAAATATGAGGGAAATATGAAACAAACTATGAAATATCATTTTTTCTCACTCTTTCTAAGGCAATAATTGTATTAGACAAAAGGGACAACAATATTTAAGTTGTTGCTTAATATGGAAACAAATCCTTTTGACATTAGCAAAGTTGTAGGTAAGTGCCATGTCCGCCATCTTAAGCGCTCAGAGTACCTGAGTTTCATGGTAGTTGTCCTGTCAAACGGTTGTTTATGTTTTAAATTATTGCGGTTTTTCAGTAAATTACAAAGAACCATTTTTTTAAACTTCAAATATATATAGTGAAACAAAAAAACAATATGCCTGTGTGTTGTATTGTGCAGTGTGGTACAAAAAAGAACGAAAATCAACCTCAATTGTCTTTGTATAGGTTAGTAAACAGTTTTCATCAAATATTACTTAGAATGATCCACATAGATAGAAAAAAATGTCACGGATACTTTAATCTATTGCCAAAGTGTATATATTTACTTTTATTTCTGTCTGTGAGACAGTTTTAGTAAAAAATTGTTGTTTACAATAATATGTCAATATGGCATAGTTACGTACCATTTCACAAAAGTATCGATATAATCTCCCATTTAAAATTCAGCATATATTATACTAAATAATCTATTTTAACAATGGATGTTTCCGCAGTTTTGTGTAACGCTAAAGTAAGACGTCAGTATTTTGGTATTGGTTTTAGTTACATGTAGAAGTTCAAATTATCATGTTTTATAATTATACGGGCGCGATTGACAGAGCGGCGTTGGCGACGATCCCAGTGCGACCACCAAGCGTAATAATAAAAAGTGAGATACATACAATAAGATTGACTTCACTACATATCTACTTTGTGCTAACGTAGTTTCGAAGATATCATCGCTTAATCAGACGCGCCGAAATTGTGCGCGAGCACTTCACAAATACCCACAGGTTTTCCACATAATTTAACAAACACTATCTTTTTCTATTTCACCATTCCATTAAACGCTGTTCATAAACACAGTCCTATTTTTTTAAAAGACGCTTTACGTAGAATTATATGAATACAAATTCGACTTGAGAAAATCATTAGCCAATCAAGAGACCAAGTTAACCCCGGGTTCCGGGCTCTAGCTAGGCCGACGGCAAAGTAGGAACAGGAGTTGATTTTAGTCAGTAACGGTCTGCCCCGAAATAGGCCGGAGATGACATTAGATGATTTCCCATAAAAAAATACCGTTAATGAGCTGGCTAATCCCTAAAACTATACCTACGTAGAACTTTTACTCAAATTGTATCGATACTCGTTAAATACTTAGTCGGCACAACCCTAGCAACGGCAGCCATTTTATGCGACATTTTGGATTGTAGGTAGGCACCTTCTTTTCGTAGGTATTTCAAGTCCATATATTTCCTATGTCAATGTTACATACTCTTTGATTTCGTTGATCTGAGCTTTTTTGACACTTGACTTTTTTTTCAATGACAGAAAATTCAATCGCGTGCCGCCTCGCCACAGTGTTATATTTCTGGCTTTACATGTAAAACTTCCTAAACAATCCGATAATTAAAATTATAGACTTGTGAAGCATTTGACTAATTATAAATTCCTAGATAAATAAATGGGAAGATATCCATAATTCTCTTCTTCTTTTCTTGACCTAAGTCTCGTTCATTTATCTATCGCCGCACTGTCCCACGAAGTTTTTTTTTTTGTATTTTGCCGCTGCTTTAATTAACCGTATAGTATCCACGACTAAAACATGATTAATTCTCCTACTGACCTTAGTCGGCCCTGTTTTACAAATATGATGAGATTTTTGTGCATTAAAAAATTAACGAGCTAGCTAAGCTTGACAATTTTTAGTTTATGTTTTATCTGCTTTTTATACGTCTGCGGTACTCTAGGACTTTGTATTCGCTTTGAATTTGTTCGACTTTGAATTTCTCTTCGCTAATTTTAAGCGTACCTAAAAGATTACATTTACTTTTCTGCATAATAAAAAACGATAAAACTCTAAGAACTATACATTCCATTCAGGAACATTGTAGCTATCTATCAGTGAAACAATTTTGGCAATCCGCTAAAGGTTACCCCCTACCTCTACATACAAACTTACAAATTTTACCTCTTTATAATATTAGAATAAGAAGAAGAAGAAGAAGAAGAAGATAATTTTAATTTTAGCCAAATGTGTGTAATTAAACTACCAAAAAGAATATACTTTTTTTTTAATGACAAGGATAGAATTTTACGTCTGTACTGACTCTGTATGGCAACTCTGACAGTTAGTGGCTTCATTTTGTAGGGTGAGGTGTAAATTGTGTTTTTTGGATTATTTTGATATCGTTATCAATTTTACAATGCTGAAATAGTGTTAAACTCTTGAATGTGCTCAAATATGTGTCGTTGTAGTGATTCATTCAATAATAGTTTGTACGAAGTGTAGTGTCCAACATGTTTCGATGTATACCTTTGTTCAAATGTAATCGCCAAGTGGAATGTGTAGACAAGCGGCATTGCTCGTTGCCAACAATACCAGAAGACATTTTACGATATTCCAGGAGTTTAGAGGAACTTTTCTTGGATGCCAACCATATACGAGATTTGCCGAAGGTGAGTGAATCTGTAACCTAAATAAGAGGATTCGTTACACTCGTGGGCGTTTACCTTATCACTGATTATGTGTAAATAATATCAATGCGTCTCAGGCTATGTTATTTGCACGTAAGTATAACTATTCCCATGCTTAAGAATAATAAATATTGCTTCTTCTGGTGAGGTAAAGATATTTTCATAATATTTTAACTTTGCTAGGCAAAATGTAGTGACATATGAATACATGATTTGTTTAAATATTTAAGATTTACAAACATACATAACAATGCATCAATATAATAAGTTTATGCGGTTACACAATTTTTAGTCAGTGGGTCACCTTAGGGGTGGATTTTTTGACGTTTATCATGCTTGTTGCACTTACTAAATACTTTTGCCCTTGTTAATTAACTTTTAGAAAAACAAAGATTTGTAGTGTGAAGAGTAATGACTTAGAAATCATGTGATATGTTAATATTCAGTAAGAAATAGAGAATTAATCAGTACTTTATGGTTTTTATGTTTATTGAGCTTTGTGCTTATGGTAGGAATAAAAATACTGAAATTTTACCTCAGCATTCCTGAACTAAGCTACATACTTTAAAAAAAAGTGTAATAGAATAATATGTTATGTTATGTTATCGTTACAATGTCTTTCTAAGACATTGTAACGATAACTAATGTATTATTTATATATCTAGGAATGAAGATTATGTTTATCAATATGCTACAAAATAAATTAATTTTACTTAGATGATCTTTTAGTTACAAAGGTCAGGTACACATTGGTATTGCATTTTTAGTTATGATTTAGCTTTTCAAGACTTCTTACCCTACACTTGTCTGTACATAAGATTGTCATTTGTTTTGACAAAGTCATATTTTTTATGTTTATTTTTGTTGTTTCCATAATAATATTATCCATATATTATATTTGAAATTTGATTATTTATGATATTTATAATGTATTTCATGTACTGCTGCATTCCATTTGTTTTTAATTAATAAGGTAAATACACCTTGGATTCATTATAAATTGTAAGGATATTCCGATTTGTATTGTTGTTAATTTCTATGAAAATTATTGAATCATCAAAGTATTCACTTATTATTTTTGTGAACAATAAAGTTATTGTTTAAGCTCTCTTGTCCGTGTTTACTAAGTTATATTTACAAGGAAATACAGTACTACAATCAATATACAACACAAAATATTTGTGATAGACAAAATAAAATAGTTTTTATATGCAATATAAAATATAATATATTAATTTATGGTTCAGCTTTCATTTATCGAATGAAAACATATTAGGTATTTATTTAATTTAATTGGTAATATAAATTAGCACATATTACTTATTATAATATTATATTATTATGTGCTGCCTTAATTTGCAAATTGTGTGTTATTAATTAAGCCTTTGAGTGCGAACAAAAACTGTTGAATTCTAATCCTCAATAATAATGGCACGGCATTCATTGTTAATAGTGAGCAAATTTATGTTTTGGCCATGACAGTTTACCATCAAACGGCTTATGACTCGGTTTAGAGGTCGCTCGCTTTTTCTTGAGGGGGAAAATCAAATGATTCAAATGACTTCTTACATCCTGGTTGGGGCGAGAGGGAGTTGCAGATTCTTACTGACTAAAAACCAGGCCACCATACATTATTGTGAAATAAATAGGCTAGTATTATGATGATGAAAAACATAATTTTGCTTGTTTCAGAATTTCTTCAGACTTCATAGACTAAGAAGACTAGGTCTCAGTGACAATGAAATCCATAAACTTCCAGCTGACATTCAGAATTTTGAAAACCTTGTTGAGCTAGATGTATCTCGAAATGGTGAGTAATATAAATTTAATTGATAAAAATATTTTAGATTCATCACAGACTAATTTGTGCCAATGACCTTACCTATACTGTGTTACCTGGTTAAATAGTACTCCATACAATATCTATTCTAATATATAAATCTATGAAGTAGATTGCAGGAAAGACCAAACAGACCTCATCTTCAATTTTCCTGTTAACACTATCTACTAAATAATAAAAAAATACCCCCAATATTCGGTAATCTCAAGTTCTTTTGAAGTCGAATAAAGCATAGTTATTTAAATGGTATAATTAAGTAGCTAAATGTAATGTGAATTTAATTTGAGAGAAAAATGTGTTTCTTGTCAAATGATCACTATTAAATTATTTATTGATTATTTACCAACTTAAGTAGGCAAATATTAAGTACTATGAATATTTTTACCAAATTTTTAAGTGAGAATAACAAAGGTTTCCTGCTGTCGAGAATAAAATTCCGATTATGCTTTCGTCGTTTAGGAATGGATGTTGAATGCTTTTTGCACCAGATTACGTCACGTTCTTGATCATAAGACTGTTCAATTTACCTTTGAGAAAGTGGAACGTTCGAACATTTGAGAGACCACTTACTTTTAATCCTCAATGTGCTTCTTAAATGACTGTCGATAATTTCTCAAAATCATAATGACTAGTGTAGTACTACATTGGTACTATGCAGTATGTAGATACCTTACAATGTGAACAGAACTTTCGAAAGAAATATTATGTCGCCAAAAATCTATTCATTACATTTAGCATGCCTGCAGTTATCAGTATTCTGTACGTGTGTAGCGTGGTATCCATCAAGCGCATACCTTCACGTACGAAGCAGGTGCGAAACACACGTCAAAAAAAATATCTTTTAAAAACCAACAAATCATATTATTTGAAAGTAATGTCTGCCGAAACGGATGGGCTTCCTGACAAACATCTATGATGATACATAAAAGTTTAATAGGTAGGTAGGTAAGCTACGTATAATTTCGTCACCTGATATAATAATGTGAAATGTTCCAAATTGATATCGATTAGCAAAATAATCTATCGATACATAATTAGGGTCTTATTATCGAAACTATCGTCGTTATGGTCGTTACGAGCAATAGCAGCACTAAATGTCTTGTTTAGCTAACATAAAGTTGATGTGCGATGATTCACCGACCTGTTTGAATACCGAAAACATATTTTTTTTTTTTTTTTTTTTTTTTTTTATTAGTAGTCAATCCGACGTCATTTATTTGATTTTTAATAATCAAAATGTTACAGAAAATGTAATTAAAGAAATCACTGCGTTGTATGTTGATAATAACATAAATAAATAATAAAGTATTTACGTCGACCTGCTCACATGAGGTTTCTATTGACCTCGCCTTGCACAAATGCCACGCGCGGCTGCAAATCTGCACTAAGCGTCTTTCCCTATTGTGTATTCAATGGGAAAATACTTATTCTAGATTGTACTGTGCCAGGCGGGAACGTGGGATTTGGTTTGAAGCTTTATCCGTTACCTGCAACAAAGATTATAAGATTTATTAGCTAGCACAATTTAACAACTTTTTTGTTTTGTCCTGTTTCAAAGAAAACGTATTTTTTATTTTTTTTATTATAATTGAAAATTGTTTAATCATCTCGTTCTTCTTACCGCACTTTCCCCCCTGATTATTTGCCAAGATTTAACATCGTATACAATTGTCAGTTTTTTAGGCTAGAAACACAGCTTTTAATTGCCTCCATAAAGAAATGGCTCAATAATAGCTCATACAATTGAAATTCGTGCTTACAATCATTATGAACATGTTGAATCACTAACATATCACTAATTTGAAAGTATCTTAACTACTGGCTAAGTTCTGTATAACATTTGCATTATATTGACACCATTCTCATTAAATTTAAGCCAATGCTTTTAAAGCTGTGTACTATTATAAAATGTTTACGGTACGGATACCGTTTCAATGCTGACGGCGGCAAGGTCTCTCAAACGGTACTGGTTCAAGTATTAAATAATGTGCCATTTGCTTTGT